AGGATGAATGTAAAGCTGATGTTCTCCCATGTAAACTCAATTCACAATAAAAACTTTAAAAAGCTGATCCTTTGGTGGGTGACCTTGATAAAATCTGCCCCCTCTCGGCTCCATGGGTCGTCCCAAACGATGATCTATCTATCTTAGAGAGAAAGCAGCCGCCCGGGGGACTCAAGCTCTCCGGCTTCAGCATTCAGAACGCGGCCACTTGCCAGATCCATCACTACCACTATTGACTCCACCAGACGCCCCGCCCAGGGGCTCGACGGGCGGCAGCCAATCCGAACGCTGGAGGGAGAGGCCTCAAACCGGGGAGCCACACCCTTTCTCAACCAGCCCAGAAGTGGAGGCGCAGTCGTTGTCCCCGCCCAACCCGCAGCGATCCCAGCGCCGTCGCGCGACCACCAACGGCTTCTCTGGCTCGAGGCTGCCAATTTGAGATGGTTCAAATATCTTTCTGGAGAGGGAGCCAACTCAAAACAACGTCCCGTTGAGCACGCACTTATTCCAGAAGGCATGGGCACGTTCATCCTCTGCCCCTCCCCCCCAAAGGCCTGGCAATTCCGCGGATCTCTGCCCAGTTACCAATCCTGCAGTGGTACCTTTGCTTGCCTGTCCCAAAGGTTAAACTCCTCCTCGCCGCCGTATCCCCAACTTTGTGTGAACTGAGGGCGGAAAGAGTTCCCCGAGGGTCGTTGACACTTAGCAACATCCCCAATTTGCCTTTCCGAGTCGGAGGGTCCCCGAACCTTCCAGTCCCCCAGTTTACCATAAGAGTTTCCACTCTGTCTCCCACATCTTGAGGTTGCAGCAGCGCGGGCCGTGACTTCTGAATCATCGGAGATAAGAGCGCACAGAGCTCCAGGTACCGGCGATGGGAGTTCAGACCCTGCCCTGGCGACCTTGAGGGAGGCGGTGGGATGGAGATAGCCGTGCGACGCGTTTTAAACTGGGAGCTCTCTGATGTTTGAGCTTCTCAAGGACCAAGCTATCGGGGGTCTAGACCTGCGCGTCTCAGGGCTGCGCGCCAGCGGCCAAGGCGATACTCCAGGGCTTTGTACAAGTTGCACAAGTGAGGCCCTAGCGTCTCGTCACTCTCTCCACTGCCACCGGGTCTGTGAGTTTCTGCCCATTCTGTCCCGCTGCCGGCAGCAGGACCAGAGGCGATTACAGGTTTGTATCCAACATGTGAAGAAAGCTGGAGGAACTGGATGGGACCGTGGGCTTTAGCTTCCGGGGTTGGGCATTCAAGGCACGCCCCGTGACGCAGCCCTCCTCAGCGCCACCTTGTGGGAACGTCCAGAACTGCAGGACCCTCGGTTCCGTAAATCCGGAGTTTAACCAGGTCACTGCCCGGTATTTTGCTTTGGGACTGAACGTCTAAAGCTACTGTCATCTGTATTTGCGAATTCGCTACTCGCCAGGTTTTATTTGTAATCTCCAAGTCAGTATTCTCAGGTGCTTTCCTAGTCTTCAGTGATAGTGTGGATCTACTGACGTAAACAAAATGGACTCGTTTTAGTCATTGAGTCTCAAGTGAGGACCCTGCAAATGAGGAAATTTATACATTGGCTGGAATGACCTTGTGGTCTTAGAAGGAGGACAGGACAAGGAGAATAGGACTGCTTAAACTCACCCAGATAGTCCTCTCAGGAATTAAGTAGAGACCCTAAAGGTAGAATGTTTGAGAAGGATCATTGCCTGATTGCCTCCCCCCGCACCCCCCCCCAAGATGCTATCTTGGTGTTAAAATAGATTAAGTGTACATTCAAATGTAACTTACCCTATATAATGTACCCGCTCTTCATAATGGACAGGACGGGCTTGCGAGACTATGCTCTCCTTCATCCAGACTGCTGGCTTTCTGCTAATAAAGCCTGGATTGGATCTCACTAAGCTGTATGATAGACTACAGTGATAAGAGGTAAACCCTCTTTTCGTTGTTTTGGCAACATTAGTAGACATGCACAGAGCAGCGAAAAATTTGAGCTGCTTGGTGCACACACCTTGCTTTCTTGTTTCAGCTCTCATGCTATAAGCCAGTGTCCTTCTGATGGTCTATTTTGTGCCATATCTTTTGCATTTTTTTGCTTTTTTGTTGTTGGATGTGCTATTTAAAGTGGCCCAGAAGTGTCATGTGGAAGTGCTATCAAATGTTCCTAAGCGCATAAAAGCTGTGATGTGTCTTATGAAGAAAATATGTGTTGGATAAGCTTCATTCAGGCATGAGTTACAGTGTTGTTAGTTGTTAAATTCAATCCACAATACAGTACATCCAGTGCTGTTGGCCAGTA